GTGACCATCCAGCCAGTTCCTTACCTACCAAGTAGTCTATCCATCATATCCATGCCTCTCCCATTTAGAGATGAGGACGTTGTGCAGGACGGTGTCGAAGGCTTTGCACAAATCCAGGTAGATGACATCAGTTGCCCATCCTTTATCCATTAAGGTTGTGACCCCGTCATAGAAGACCACCATATTCATCAGGCACGATCTGCCCTTGGTGAAACCATGCTGGCTGTCACCACTCACCTCCTTGTTTTCCATGTGCCTTAGCATGGTTTCCAGGAGGATCTGCTCCATGATCTTGCCAGGCACAGGGGTGAGACTGACTGGCCTGTAGTTGCCTGGATCCTCTTTTTTTCCCTTTTTAAAGATGGGGAATTATATTTTCCCTTTTCCAGTCAGTGGGAACTTCACCAGACTGCCACGACTTTTCAAATATGATGGATAGGGATTTCACAACCCCATCCGCCAGTTCTTTCAGGACCTGCGGATGTATTCCATCAGGTCCCATGGACTTGTGCACCTTCAGGTTCCTCAGGTGTTCCCGAACCTGATCCCCACTGACCATGGGTGGCTCTCCATTCTCCCAATCCCTGCCCTTGCCTTCTGTGACTCTGGGGGTATGGCTTGTGCCCTTGACAGTGAAGACTGGGGCACAAAAAATCATTGAGTACCTCAGCTTCCTCCATATCCTGGGAAACCAGCTCTTCCATTTCCTTCTGCAGAGGGCCCATATTTTTCCCTGTTATTCCTTTTATCCCCTATGTACCTATAGAAGCCCTTCTTGTTGGCCTTGATGTCCCTGGCCAGGTTCAATTCTGTCAGGGCTTTGGCTTTCCTACCCTGATCTCTGACTTGTCAGACAATTTCCCTCTAATCCTCCCAGGCTCCCTGTCCCTGCTCCCACCCTCTGTAAGCTTCCTTTTGGAGCCTGTTTGTCCAAGAGCTGCTTGTTCATCCACGCAGGCCTCCTGGTGTTTCTACCCAACTTCACTGGGATGCACAGCTCCTGAGCTTGGAGGAGAAGGTCCTTGAGTACTCACCAGCTTTCTTGGGCCCCTCTTCCCTCTAAAGCTTCATCCCAAGGAACCTTCCCAATCAGTTCCCTAAAGAGGCAAAAGTTTCCTCTCCTGAAGTCCAGGGTAGCGAGCTTGCTGCGCACCCTCCTCGTCTCCTTAAGGATCTCAAACACCACCATTCCATGGTCACTGCAGCTTTCTAATACAAGCCCGGCCTGAATTTCTGTATTTGCGCTCCTTTCCCCTCCTTCTTTGTCTAGAAAGGCTGTGAACAATTTGGTGCAGGGGCTGCCACTTACCATTCAGTTCCTAGAACCTGTGACACTGATTTGCTGCTAAAGAGCAAATAATAGCTAATGTTTTCAGGTGAACTTGATTTTCACCCCTCTACATTTTGCTAGGAAACATACAAAAAATTACAAGGTGAACTTGCTGAATGTTGGTCTTGTTGCACAGATGAAAATTCTGAATTCTTTGAAAGGCTTCATGCAGATCCATCTAATTTATGTAGCTTAACTGATTTCCCTTCCTTCTCCCCTCCCACCGACCCAATCCCCTATTCCTCCAGTAGCTGAATCCCCTGGATTTGGAAAAAAAATAAAACCACCAGATCCATATTTGCTGCACAAAAGCTAGGGGGATTTTCGCTGGTAGTAGAGGTGCACCTGTGACTTCAGTGGGTTACGTCAAGCGAGATTCTGTTCTCACACCCAGCCTGTACTGCTATGGAGTCTGAACGTCCCACGTCCTCTCATCTACCCTCCCAGAGCTCCTGGCAAATACTGTTGTTATTATTTTATGGTGGGAAACTGAGGTGAAAGGAGTGGCTAAGTGCCATGCCCAAAGTCGTATGGGAGGTCTATCGGAGGAAAGATGCTTGAGCTCAAATGAGTGTCTTCACTGCTGGGTTTTTCTCCTGATTGTGATTTTGATGCTGAACCTTTCAATTTTAGACTTGATTTCTTTTGAAAGAACTAGGGCTGTTGCATTGAGCCACAGAAAGGTGCACCAACGTTATCAAATTCTGTGCCAGCCAAAGGTGTCGGCCTACTACGGGCTGATCTGACATCCCTGGATAGGCTTTTTTTGATCCTGCCCTGCAGTACAGCAGAGGTTTAATGCAGGTGTATTAAATGCCGGCATTAGGGACTGATTGGTGAATACAATTAATCTTTCTCAGACTATTTTCCTATGTTTTCTGTTGTTTCAGATTAAAAAACTTTTCAAGCAGCGACCTGGCATTCTCCTCAGGGAAAGACTTTGGAGAAAACAGTGGCCTGGCTGTGTACGTAGCGGACGCGATTGATGCAAGCGTCAACTGGGAGGACATCAGATGGCTCCGAGGGCTGACATCGCTGCCCATCGTCATGAAAGGAATCCTCAGGGGTGTGTAGCTCTGCCACCTCCCGTGAGGGAGGCGAGGCATCCCTTCTCGCAGAGGCACCAGGGAAGGAAAAGTACTCATGCTGGAGATATTTCTGTAGAATCACGTAGAACTGCATTACTTTTTAACGGCAAACGTCTGCTTTGCTGGTGGGATGCTTGCTCATATTTCTGTGCTGTGCTAGGCAGGGAAGATGCAGCCAGGAAGGTTGAACTTGATCCTGAACATTGTGCCTGTAAACTCCAACTCTCATCTGAGTTGTGCGCGACTTAAAGGAAAGCTGATTTCATAGAACAGAATCATAGAATGGTTTGGGTTGGAAGGGACCTTAAAGATCATCCAGTTCCAACCCCCCTGCCATGGGCAG